ATCACCCTTTCTCCTTGTGTGCCTACAATTAGAAACTTCATACCTTCCTCCCTCCCAAGAATGTCAAGGACACGGGATTTACTGAAGTATAATGGACAGAAAGAACCGATGGACAAGGTATGAGGGTAACATGAGAGCCACAAACCTGGCGAAGCCTAACGCACGGCTGCCTAGTTAGACCCACAGCTGGCAGGCACAGGGGAAACACTGCTAGCTATACACTTTACAAAAGGGCAAGCACTACCTCAACCCTTAAGTGCATCTTACGGCACGTGCCGCCCGCCACCCCTATGCAGGGCCTTGCTGTTTCCACCTCCTCCATCCACCCCCAGTTCTCTGGAACTCAGAAGCTGAGCAGTGTGAGTTTCTAGTGGTTCTGAATGGTTCATATGATCTGGAACTGGGGACATCCCTAGCTCCTCCCCCCAGACCTACAACTTTAGGGGGTTCAATAGAAGGTTTCTCCCAGGAAAGGACAAGCTGTTAACTTAAATTCTGCTCTTCTCCAAATGCTCCAGATTGTAAGGCCTCAACAGAGGGTCCTCCACAGAGATGCATAAGGAAATGCTTTAGAATAAATAGAACACTCGAATACATACTGTGGCAGACGGTGCCACGCCCTCTGGGAAGGCTCCCATTGGCCCCTCTCCCCAGCTGCATGCTTGGAACCCACACTGGCATGCGGCTTGGAGGTGCAGGATCACCTCACAGAACTGCTCACCTGGGCTTTTCACCTTCCCTCTGCTGACACCCTGAAGGCACAAACACAAGCCTCCAACAGCCGTCAATGCCCCAGCCTGAAACTTGAAAGTCTCACTAAAATCCCACCCATGGTTCTCCTACTTACCTTGGGCTGCGCACGACGAGGAAATGCAACTTTGGGGTCAATCTGGAGGAAGAGAATAAAAAGGGAAGGCGTGAGTGAAGGAGTCTGGAGAGCAGCAGGGAATAAATATCCAACCACCCAATTATTAATCACTCATTTCTCAGGCTTAGACCTCAGCTTTCAGTAACTTCTTGGACAACTCAAGAGCTCCTTCAGCTTTGGTCTCACTTTTCGCCATCCCTCTCCCCATGGGACTTATGAGGTTCACCTTTCTGGAATGTTCCACCACGCATTTTAGTGAGTGACGTGTTTGTAAGCCAGAGCTCATGCACTCTTATTGAGACAAGGGACGTCCCTTACACAGACCCTGAATACAAAATGGTACCCAGAGCTAATGTGCAATGTGTGGCCAGGGGAAAAGATGGGTACAATGTTATCTGAAGGGGAGAAAAAGAAAAAGCCCTCAAAAAATGCATGTTCCTCCAGCTGTAGGTAAACGGGTGATTATTCCTTCTCCCTGGCAAAGCAGGGGAAAAGAGACTCCCCCCAAAAAATTGAAAATCAACAACATCCAACACAAGCTCAGATTAACTCACTAGTGCCAGCAAAATGAACTTACTCAGGAAGACCAAGAAGAGATCTTTGGCAGCCAGGCATGTCGGCTCACACCCCGAAGGCCTACACCTGAGAAGCTGAGGGAAGAGGTCACGGAGGGGTGGAAGACCCTCCGCAACACCATAGCTGAGTTCTAGTGAGACCCTACCTCAAAAAGGTCATTTGCAATTGCCTTGTGGGTGTATCTCAAAGAAAACAGAATTCAATGACTCGCTTATTTAAAAAAAAAGCCATAGTAAGAGAGGACAAGAAAGGTATATACATGAATTAAACCCACATGGATTTAAAACAAACAAGCAAAACAGTGATGCAACTACATGAACAATCCAAAGTCCAAATTAGGAAGGCCGTTTGCAGGGGTGTTAAAAGGAAACCAGCTGGGCAGAGGTGGGAATCGAATGCAGTAACTGGGGCGTTCCCCCAGCCCACCTCCACCCCAATGGAAGAGCTCCCCACTCTATCAGCGCCGGCTTGCCGAGCGCACGGGCATAGTTCTCAATCCGCTTCACAATTCCCACAGAAGGCATCTGATTCTAACAGATGATGTGACGAGAAAAAAAAAAGTTATTGCCTGGATAAAAACAGGGGGGAATTTTTTAAAAGTCCATCACTCGTTTCCATTAGATTTCCAAACATCACAAATCTTTTGAGTATAGTTCAACGTGGAGAATGACATAGGTATTGTTACAAGTTATTTATTTATGAGCTCTGGCTTCCGGGTTATGCATTTCCCCCTTTAAAAAGTAAATCTGAACCTCATGTCCATTCTGTCACTTAAGAAAATAATAACCATGCTTTGGGGAAAACTGGGGGTGAGATACTCACAACACAACCCCCTCCCCCATGCCAGATAATCCCAGGGTCCCAGCTGGTAAGACTTACAAAGACAAAATCACTTTTATTAAGATAGTTTAAAATCTAAAAATCCACCTTGTGCTTTCTACCTTTAAGTACCACCTGAGAAATGAGAGATTACTTTTCAAAAGCTAAAATAGACCAAACTCTTGGATCTAGGAAACTACCCTTTCATAAAGATTAATATTACTGCGTCTACAGGTGTGCCCAGCACTGACTAGAGTTTCTCTACAAATGAAATACAACAGGTGTGGATTTCCATTCTGTCGCCAAAACTGAGACAGATGCTCGTCTCTGGTCGCTCAAAAGACACACTCCTGAGGCTTGATCGATCTGACCAACACACAGGTTGCAGCGAGAAGTCACCTTGTTTGTGTGGGAAATGGTGAGGTACAACCCAGGGGAGGGTGGGGGTCAGGGGAGGGTGAGGGTCAGGGGAGGGTGGGGGTCAGGGGAGGGTGAGAGTCAGGGGAGGGTGGGGGTCAGGGGAGGGTGAGAGTCAGGGGAGGGTGGGGACCAGGGGAGGGTGGGGGCCAGGGGAGGGTGGGGGCCAGGGTGAGAAAAGGACAGGGAAGAAAACAAATACTAAGATTAAAAAAAAAGAAATGTAAAATTACAAAACCAAAAGCCAATTTGGGACTGCATTGTATGTGTGTGGCAGTGACATCAGCATGTTACACGGAGAGCAGAGTTCTCCCATGTGCAAAGTTTTCCACATTGAGATCTCCAAAGCCTAGGAGGCGTCAAGGCAAGAAGGCAAATCCCAACCTTTTGCACATCCCAGTTAACTATTTAAAAAGAAAGGAGAGAGAGAGAGAGAGAGAGAGAGAGAGAGAGAGAGAGAGAGAGAGAGAGAGAGAAAACTACCCAAAATTAAAACATTAGTTACTTAGGTGCAGCGCTAGTACTGGCTCTAGAGTCCTCTAGAAAACACTAGGGTACTATTTTGGATGTGAATGGCCTTTACCTAAACAAAGCTTTTAAGGTTACAGTAAACAAGATCCTCGTTTCCATGTCAATAAACCAACCGCTTCTGCCTCCTGCACTGAACGTTGAAACAAAGTCAAAAGCTAGGTTATACTAAGTAATAGCAACCAAAATATGTCTACAAAACAAACGGGTGGAAAAGCCCAAGGCCCAGCAATGGATACTGCAGGACACTGAGGGATCTGACCAGTCAACCCTCACTAAAACCAAACTCCAGTTCTCCCACCCAGGCAAAGAGTGCACGAGAGAGAAATCACAAACCCGCTTTGAGTTTTTCCGTGAAATTCTCCCTAGCTGTGCGATGCATCTAGCCAAGAAGTCAAGGAGGAAAGCATAAATTGTTCAGACATTCCTCATCACCTTACCAATGATCATTCTTGAAATTAAATGATCTGACAGCACAGACAGGCTGGGCCTGCAAGCTCTGGCAAGTCTAGGACAATTAATAAAGCGACTTTAGTGCATAAGGCGGTTTCTTGGGGGGTAAGGGCAACACCTGACCTCTTTGATGATAAAAAGTGGGTGAGTTTGCAAAATCAATGAAGTGCACCTAAGGTTGCCTGGCACTCTCCTCCACTCAGGGTTAAGAGACGAAAGGGCTTGGAAGACCCTGGAATTCTGCTGACTTCACAGAAGAGGAGAGTGAGGGTCAGGTTCACAGTGGGCAGCTGCCTCACCCACCCGCCCCCAGGAGCTCACAACAGAACAAGAGCATCCCGTGCAGCCCGAAGCCGCATCCCAAATATCACCTTGAGGCTTCTGCCTTAAACAGTGGTTAAAAAAGAAGAAGAAAAGAAGAGAAATCCTGATGAAATTCTGCTAAGCATCCAGGGAACGCAGGGGAGGCGGCAAGCCAGCACAGGGGCTGAGCGTACCTCTAGGAACTCCCCAGCCTCCTCCATCATTACATTTATTATTCCACACTGACATTTTTCCCCTTGTTCTCTGACCTCCACCTAGGGATTTTCACCTCTAAACTCTGGATTTTTAAGAACTTCAACTACTTCAAATGCTTTAAGTATCCACACACAAATGAAAGTATCTGGGGGGGGGGGGTGTGGCGGCAAGGCGCAATCACTTTGAAACCCAGGCCTTATCAGCCTTCAATTCGACGCCATCTGGTGTAAACCCACTGGACGCCCGAATTGGTTCTGACAGTATCTCCCTTCCCTTCTCAAACCACATCTCAAATCACTTGGAGTCCCAGAGAAACCTGTTGCCTGGACCTAAGATCAGCGCCCCCTCCCCTCATCCCAACCCCTGCCCCCTCCACCAGGAAGCAGGCTGTGCCTTCCTTCCACAAGCCAATCCCACAGGCTGTGCTCTGCTGACAAAGAAAGTTCCATTTGCTCTCCGGTGGAGTTTCTCTGCGAGGTCCCTTGGCGGGACCTCTCAGGGAACGGACTACCCTCCCCTCGGCTGTGGCTTGGCAGCGTCTGAAGCTGCAAGGGGACAGACTACAAAAGAAACCCAGCAAAACAGCCATGGCAGCGAACTTCTGAGACAACTCACTAGCTGTTTTAAAGTACCCAGTTGTAGCAATAGGAGCAAAAGAAGGCGCTGTCCCTTTAAACAGGGCTGTCATTGCCCAGACAGGCACTGAAAAGGGGCAAACAACAACAGAGCAACCTACCGTCTTGGAATCTAACTCATGGTGGGGCTGACCTAATACTTTATCTACACTTGCTGGGTCTGCGAAGGTGACGAAACCGAAGCCTCTGGAAGGAGACAAAGAGGGAGAAAAACAAACAAAATGTGACACCCCTGAAAGCAACAAGGAGACCCTATATGCAGACTGGGGTGCGAAAGTTGCCCCCCACGCACCTCCATCCCACCAGCTCCCTCTGTTCTCCCCCAGCCCACAGTCCTCTGCCTTGCGAGGGAAAAATACCAAGGTTAGTGTGGAAAGCGGAGGGGGGGGCAGGGCGGCTAGAGGTAACTTGGAACACGCTGGTGCCTCCACTCTGGTCGCCTCAGTTTCCTCTCCTCCTCTCCCCTTTCTTTCTTAAGGCTTTGTTTTATGCCGAAGGAAACCGGGCACTAGGATATTCATTCATCTCCCACAGAGGGGACTTCGGAGTTTGGGAGTGGGAAAAAGGCATACACTCATAAATTTAAATAATAAAAAAAACTATGTGGAAAGTGGATGAAGCTGAATGTCATTTTAAAAAAGAGAACAAGAAGCGACAGGAAAATGACTTCAAGCGGGAGAGATGGGCGGCTCTGAATCCAGAGTTCGGCCCTAATTAACAATAACCTCTGGGGTTATGGGGGAGCGACGTTCCAGCCCAGCCACGCGCCTGAGCCCCATTCTAAATCCGCTTAGCTACTTCCGAAGACACCTCCAAAAATAAAACTAAAACTTTGTTCTAAAATAAAGGCAGAATCCAGAAGGAAATGCGTTACCTGGAACGTTTCGTAGTGGGATCTCTCATGACCATACATTCTCTAATTTCTCCAAATTTGCTAAAATAGTCTCTAAGGCTATCTGTAGAGAGAGAAAGAGAGAGATGGGGGGGTGGGAGAAGGTGTGGAGAGGGGAAAAAGCAATGCAAATTTTGATCAAGGACAAAAAGCAAAAGTAGTTTTCTGTTGTTATTCTGTTTTGTTTTTGCAATATTTTTGCACACGCGGGGGAAATTCGGCAACAGAGGTCGCGTAGAGGGCTCGGAAAGGATTTGCTATTTAAAAAAATAACCTTGCACAGGAGAAGTGGGGAGCCATTGGCGGGGAGGGGGGCTCTTACACCGGGATAACAAAGAGCAATAAAGAAGCCAAGAAGGGGGGGACCCAGGCGTCCCCCCCTCCCTCCCTTACCTGGTGAGGTCTGCCAGCTCAGTCCACCGATAAACATTTTACTAGAGGGAGAAAACATAACCGAAGTGAGCACCGATGTCAGATCGGCCATTTTGACGTGTAACTTACAAAAGCTAAAAGGAAAGCTGGGGGGGAGCGGGCGAGCGCGAGCCGGGAGGTGGGCTGGGGGAGAAGGTGGCCGCCCCACGCCACCCCAAGGTGCGCGAGTGCCCCAGGGGTGCGCGCGGGGGCGCGGGGGGCGCGCGGATGCCCCGCTCCGCACCGTCGCCCGCACAGCCCCGAGCGAGCCCGCGGCGGCGCGGTGGGCAGCGGCTGGAAACTTACCCGGGGTCGTGCTGGGAGTCGTTGGCGCTGCCCGAGGTGCCTGGGCTCCCATTTGCCTCCATAGCGGAGCCCCCCGGCCCCCCCACCCCCGACACACCGAGCCCCACAGCGAAGCGGAGCGCAGCGGCGGCCGGCTCCGAGCCCCAGATCTCCGTCCCTCCTCCCCCGCCTCCTCCCCCCGCCCGGCGGCTGCGAAGCTCCGCGAGCGCCGAGCCGGGCCAGCGGCGAGAGCCCGTCACACGTGGGCTCGGCTCAGCTCAGCCCCGCCGCCTCGCACACCCCCCGTCCCCGCCCCCCCGGCCCATCCCCACCTCTCCCCCTCCTCCTCCCCACCCCCCATCTCCTCCTCCTCCTCCCCCTCCTCCCCGCGCACGTGGGGCGGAGTTCTAGAACGTCGTGTAACCAATGCGGTGACGTCACGCACCCCGTTCGGTCCACCCCCCCCCGCCCGTCCGCGCGCGCACACTCGGCCCCCCGTGGCAGCGGGACCCACCGGAGGCGGCGCGCGAGCCCCGAGACTCGAGGGGGGCCCACGTCAGCCGGGCGGGGAGCCGGGAAGTGCACCCCGAGTCGGCTCAGATCACATGGGCTGGGTGTGGGGGAGGGGGAGGCGCGGGGAGCTCAGCCCGGGCTGCTCGCCGGGCGGGGAGGCGGCAGCGCCCTGGACCCCCTTAGTTCGCGCTACCCATTCAAGTTCTCGGGCCCTTGCGCCGGATCCGGAGGTGGCACCCGCCGCCCGCCCTGCCTCTGTGCCCCGGTTTCCAGCCACCGCGCGGAAATTTAGGTCAAGGACGCTGGGAGCACACCCACACCCTGCGCTCCCCGAGACCCCGGGAATCGGGGGGCTTCGGGATGAAGGAGACCCTCCCACACAAACGCCAGCCACAAGTTTTATTTTTCCCCTCGCGCCGCAAGTTCCCTGGCTCCCGCGCCACACCCGCACGTCCTGCACGGCTCCCCGCCCTTCCCCGGCAGAGGTACGGAGCCGTGCCCGCGAAGGTTATTTTAGAACTTTGAGAAACAGGCGCGATACCAGGGGCCGAGAAAGCACCCTAGACAGGGTTTGCGCGTTACTCAAACCACGACTTAAAAATATAATAAAGTGGGCTTTTAGGGGTCAAGGTCAAATGATTGGGGGTCTCAAAGCGAGAGTTCACGGAGAATTGAGTAGTAGTTTGGGAGCGTCTCGAGGGTGGCTAGGATGGGTGGTTATTTCAGAGAAAAAAACGGATTATTCGTTTATCTGTGTTATTTATTATGTTTAAAGTTACTCGGGCTTCCTGTGTAGAGAGTAAAAGTGCGTCAGAGTGAAATGGCCCCCCAAGGGGGGCTGTCTTTGAGGTAACAAAGCGCCCTTCCTCCCCCCCTCACGGTTTTCGGAGCCATAAGGTGCCTCACGGACCCTGGCACGCAGTAGGTGTTTAGTAAAAGCTCCCTTCCTCCCCTGGCGAAGTGTAAACTCCAAAAGGATGTTTGTAGCTTCCCACAGGCATTGCACACTTCAGATTCCAGGCTGGCCAGATTCGGGCTGTATTCAATTTATGAGGTATTTAAAACAGTACGGATACAATTATCCTTATTGTTTTAAATTATTACAATAAACAAGTTAATATAGCATGAGGGGCAACATAAAGCTGTGGTTCATCAAATACCCGGATTAATGTTAAGCATGCATTGATGCCCAATTAACACTTTTTCATTAATTTTCATAGAATTAGGAGACAATGAAATACACTCAACACCAAAACTGTGCCGTGTCAACTGTGGGTTTTGGAACATTTGGAAAATCTCAACACCAGCCAAAGCCTTGAGTGATCAGACTTTCAATCTCTCTGTCCCCTAAATTGGGAAAATGCCTCTCTGACAGGATTGATGGGGTAGGGTGGAGCATTTGAAGTGAACAATGTAAAATGTCCCCTTTTTAATTGCAAAACTTACATGAATCATGCTTATTATGAATTGTTACTGATTATAATTTCTAGAAGGCACTTCATAAGACTTCAAACCACAAACCATAGTTTCCCAGCACTCCAACCAAACTGATTCGTGAATCGTCTGGGGACCCATGTGTGAAAGAGACCCCTGTTGTGGTAGCTGTTTATTGTGATTATGCTCAATAACAAAATACAGGCAACACAGCTAATTGAGTTAATTTTTTGGATTTTTTAAAAAACGGAACCACAGGCCATCAGAACTAGAAAGGACTTTCCTTATCCAGCCCCTTCCTTGAATAAGAAGCCCCAGAGGTGCCAGGCTGTCAGGCTGTATTCCCACCCTAACCAGTTAATCCCTAGGAGGGGCTCTGGCCCAGGTCGGAAGCCTGCATGTTGGAGCTGGCCCTCACTAGGCAGAAGAGGGTAGCTGCCACCTGATGCAGACTTTCGCAAACTGTTGAGGGTAACCCAGGGAACGCCTGCGGGGTCGGGCACTCTTAGCACTGCATAGGCCAAGGCTGATGGATGACTAAAGGGGGAGGCTCCAGCATGCTATTGTTAACACTTAGTTTAGTATTGTGGGGGACAGAGGCTTGCTGTGCAAGAACCCAGGCTGGCCTTGAACTCCAGAGCTCTTACTGCCACTGACCCTGTCACCACCGCCAATTTTTATTTTCCCTTTGCAGATTGTGTGGAGATGGTGTAGCCCAGGCTGATGGCAAACTCCCTAGATTGCAGAGGATGACCTTGAACATCTGATCTTTTCTGCCTCTACGGCTGGGATTATAGGTGTATCCCACCATGCCAGGTTTATGCAATGCTAGGGATCAAACCCAGTGCTTCAGGCTTGTTAGGAAGGAAGGCACTGTACCAATTAGGGCCCTCCCCCTCTCCCCGCCCCCACCCTGTCCCAGCTAGTAACATTTTGGTTACAGACCTTCCCTTGCTCTGTGACTCTGACAAATGAACAGATTATATGATGCCCACCAGGATAAAAATGCAGAACAATTTCATTGCCCCCCCCAGCCCCTCCTCCTGCAGCCCTTTGCACTAGGCTATTTATTTTTAAGAGATTCTGTATTCCTTCCCAGCTCCATCCAGATCCCAGTGGGGGTGCATAACCCACCGCCTTGGGGTCCCTGCCAGGCTAGACAGCCCCTGAGACTTCCTCTTTCCCAGCTCTGACCATTACTACACTCTTCTGGGTTCTCTGGTCCCTGGCCACCTTTCCTCTTCTACATCTTTGCCCTCTCTGTTTCTCTGCCTTCCCTTTAAATATTGGTGTGCTTCTCCAGTTGGATCCTCTCCTCCAGCTACCTCCTCCCCAGATGACCTGAGCAGGATGGGTTTAAATACCACCCACATGCGGATGCCACTGCAAATCTCCATCCCTAACCTCACCAAAGTGCCAGGTTCCGTTCAGTATCCTCTTCTCTATACATCTCCACTTAGCCTTCCTAAAGGTATTCCAGATGTAACATGGCCAAAGCCACACATGTGCACTATTCTCCCCTAAATCTGAACCTCTTTTTGGGATCCTTGTCAATGAATATACTCAGCCAGCCAGGAGACAACATGGTTGAACTCTGACCTCACCAGGTGTGACTCACCCAGGAGTCTCTGGAATTCACCTTGTAACTATCGCTCAAATCCATCATTTTGGTTTTAAGATTATTTCCATGAACCATGAACTCTGTGTGTGTGTGTGTGTGTGTGTGTGTGTGTGTGTGTGTGTGTGTGTGTGTGTGTGGTCAGAGGGCAGCTTTCAGGAGTCTTTCTCCTACGTTCCACGGGTTGAACTCGGGTGTGAGGTTAGGCTTCCTCGGTAGGAACTTTTACCCAATGAACCATCTCTCTTGCTGTATATCAGATCTCTCGCACCCGAGGCCCTGGAACAGCCTCCCACAGCTGCCCACAAGGACTCTTAGTCCATTTATATGCCTGGAAAGCTTTCCCACACTTCCCCGACCAGGTCAAATGTCTCTTACAGACACTTAAGCCAGCAGAAGGTCCTCTGTGTACCTTGCCCTGTGTGATCATTGCCCATCTCAGCCAGGCCACGAGCTGAGCTTTGTTTTCCTTGTGCCAGTGCAGTACCTGCTAGTTCCTGGTTGACTTTTGGTGGGGGACAGATTCAAAAATGAGTGAATGTCGATGTCCAGTTTCACCCTAGGATCTTTATTGTGCGTTTGTGTGCTCGTGTTCAGAAGTCAGATTGGCTGCAATTTCCCCTTAATGCTTTTGTCTATTTATACTGGCCTCCTAAAATGGTAAATGTTGCTTACCCCGCCCTCCCTTCTGGAACAGTATGTTAAAGACGGTA